TGAAAATAAAATGTTTGTAGATGGGGAGGGGAGGAGGGGGTGAAGGGAGGGCAGAGGTAAGGGGAAAAAATGAGAATCAAGACTTGTCATGTAGAGGTACAAGATCCCAACAATGAATGTAACTGTACTGTATCCCTGAAATGTACCAATAAACTCAATTAAAGCTGAAAAAAAACAATTTCAAAAAATAGTGCATTGACTTTTTAAATAATTAAAGGCTATATTCATTAAATTTTTGAAAAATTGTATTTAATTTGATTGAAATTTAATTTAAAAATTAAATTTATAAATTTAATTGCTTTTGAAGGATAAAAATTGAGAAACAGTAACAACATGGAAATATGTAATTTGGAGAAAAGTAACTTCACAGTCAAATGTAGAAGATCTTTCCTTACCATTGGCCTAAAGAAAGGAAAAATGTGAGTTTAAACTATTTAGTTATTGATCGTATGTGATGTAAATTGTGCTTTTATTAATTAATAAATCACTGAGCCAGGGATTTAGCTCAGGGTTTCCACCACCTGCCTTGCAAGCACAAGGACCAGAGTTCAATCTCAGGTACCAATCAACCAATCAATCAATCACTGAGATTTCCTGAAATTTATAATTGAGAAAAATTTCTATGCAAAGAATGATAGATTTCAGGTCTGCTTTTCCTTAGAGATGCTCACACAACTCAATACGTGGTTGTGTTATGCATACCTGGTGCTTGTTAGTTTGCTTATAGATGGAATCTCACAGGAAGGCCCCAGTGACGTAGATGTATTTTGAGAGAATGATGTCATGTTGAGATCAGTGATGGCAAACCTTTTGGAAACAAGTTCCCAAATCGCAACCCATGGATCCTTCGCAATTTGCCAGCACAGCAATTAAACCTGAATACTGAAATATTAGCTCAGAAAAGAAAAGAAAAATTCTCAGACATACTTTGTCATAGAAGAAAAAGAATGTACAAACCATAGGTTTGCCCCCACTGGTTTAGGTTATCCAATTTTAATTTTCACACTTTTGTGTTAAATATTTGAAATTTGGGCTGTTTAAGCTTTGATGAAAGTAGACAAGAGTATAATAATGGGAAATGGTTAAAATGCAAGTTTGTATGAAGACCATAGTGCAAGATTTGCTGTATGACTAAAAGAGAACTGGTAAAAAATATGTTTCTCAGAAATAAAAAATTAATTAAATGATGCATATTCTTTTTTAAACAACTTTTTATTTGTTAATGCCACATAAGAAATTTAAGCATGTTGAGCTTTTTAAAAAACACAAATAATGTATTTTAATAGAGAAGTCCTTCCCTCATCCCACCACCCCTGCCTGATCCCATTGACATTGTGAATTAAAATTCTAAGAGAAATAACCATTAAACAGTTTTGCGGAGTCCTTCATCCAGAGACCTTACATGATTAGGTAAATATTGCCTTCTTACAAAATTCTCTTTTCTATTTAAAAAACAAAACAAAATTTATAACCTTGATTTCTTATTACAAAAAAATTCAGTATAAACTTCAATATATTGAAACATGCTTTCCCCTCCCTCACAACACCATTATATATAGCATGGAAGAGTCAAGAGCAGACTGCCAATCTAGATAGAGCAATCTTCAATTTATACCAGAGACACAGTGGTTTGTTTACCCCTCCCTTCTCATAAGAACTTAAAAAATAGAAAACATATACACACTTACAAAACAAAACCCAAAAATATTTGAGACCCTTTCCAACAGTACACAGTTAGTTCAGTGTCAGTAATTCACATTTTGCAACAAAGTGTATGTATATGATTTCTTTTATAAAGCTTTCAGTGTCAAAAAGGAAATTAAGGCCATCAGAATCACAGCTTAAAAATTCACATAAAGCAAATATAAAAATATCCTGTGCTTCTGAGAAGAATTTACACTGTATACAGGATTACCATACTTCTTTCTACTGAGGAAGATGCTAGTCTTTTTAAGCTTTTCATTCTAAAATAAATGTGTGATATCATATATAAATGAGGACAAGTGGAGAGAGTTCCTAAAGTCATTATCTTAGGTTGAAATATCAGTGATAATATGAAATAAGCTATTAAAAATTGAACAAAGATGTTTTATTAAGTTCATGTAATTGATACAGATTAAAAGTATATTATGTAAACAACTTTTGCTAGAAATGAAACAGAATTATTGATCACTAAGCAATTATGTCAATTAATTATTTAATAACACTTGATTTTTTTACAGCTAACTAAATGTTTACTAACACAAATGTGTTTTCATGTGAGAATTTGAATTACTTTAAGAAAATACTTGCAAAGGCATTCTTGGCAGGAAATTTACCATTTTCACATAAATATACTTTTTATATGCACACATTATATATCCCTGTAACTATAGTCTATGGAAGACTACCCTCACTCTGACTCCAACACATTCCTGTATTAGATCTCAAAATTTGATTTGCTATGACTTATGAAAATAGTGCTACTTACTATTACAATAGGTAAACATACAGATTAATATCTGTCAAGGTGAGGAAGCACTTGGGCAGAGTCCTGGAAAAATTCCAAACACATAAAGTCCAATGATGAAGAGCTTTGACTTCCTCCTCACTTTGATGTGTGACAACTGCCCAGAATATTGAGCACTAGGGAAGCTTGTCTAATTTTTGGTGTCCAAAGATTTTATTAGGGTTCATTAACACTGGCACAATTAACCACCTAATTCAGTCTCCTGCCTCTCCTAAGATCCAGATAACATTGGTTGACAAAAGACATCTGAAATTTTGTTCTTGGGTCTGATAATCCCAATAGTGTATCACATTGCTACCCTCTTGCTGGGCCAAAGTATCCAGGAGAGTAAAGTTCAAAGCAACTTCCAAGCACTTCTATAGGCGTTTTTTAAAAAATCTATTTAAATGCCATTAGTTATCAGCTAAAGAATATTAAAAAGTAATTTATGAAGATAATTGAAATAAAAGATGAAGTGAAAAAATCTTGAAATTAGCAAAAACATATTCCCCCAAATATTGTATACTTTACAGTCTATAGGAGACATACTGTTTTATATATCGAGAATTACATTATTAGAGATATCTAATTTCAGATACCTACTTGGCATATTAAACAATCTATCTTATTTCAGATATCTGCCACCTTGGCATATTAAACAATTATAAATACGTCAAATGAAAGTTTCCACATATAAAACAATATTTACATTTATCATCTCACTGATTATTTATACACTGAAAGTCAGAATTCTGATAAGCATTCAATCCCTAAATCAAACTTTTAATAACATATTTTTGTAATATAATCATGTTCTCATTAACACAGCTAATTCTTATCATAAAATATCTTTATTTTTCCAGCTTCATAAAGTTAATATTTTATAGAAATAATTGAGTAGAAGGTAAAAGTTTAGAATTCAGTAAAATAAAATTGAGAATTTTAGTTAGAAAACAAAGGAATAAAGTCCTGAATGAAGTATTTGGTGCAAATAAGACTTAGTGGGGTATACACATTTGTGTTTTTTTTTCCCTCATTGAGTTTATTGGTATATTTTAGGTATGCAGGACAGTTATATTCATCATTGAGATCTAGCACCTTTACATGACAGGTCTTGGTTCTCATTTTTCCCCATACCCCTACCTTCCCTTCACCCCTCCTCCCTTCCCTATTTACAAAAACTTTGTTTCCATTTTTTAATTTTCTCATTTTTTTTCGTTTCCCTTATTTCCTTTCCCCTACCCTTCCCACTTCGCCTACACCATTAGCCCAATTCTTCCTATTTCACAGTTCTCTGGTGTGAAAAACTATAATTGTAAATAAGATCCTAATGGTATAATTCACATTTAATTATTTGACAAATATATTGGGCAGGATTGTTTTCATAAGAAAATTAATGTAATTCTTCATCAGATTAAAAAGTGTATGTCAAGTAGTACTTGTCTTTCTATGCCTGACTTATTTCATTTAACCTAATGATCTCCAATTTCATGCTTGCTATTAAAAATTTCATTCTTGTTTATAGTTAAATAATATTGCATCTTGTCTATGTATATTTTCTTTATCCATTCATCAGTTGATGAACATTCAGGTTGTTTCATTTCTAAACATGGGAGTAAATATAACATTATTTTGATAAACTGATTTCATTTGCTTGGTAGAAATGCTCTGATAGTAGTATTACTGCATCCTTTGGTATTTGTGTTTTTAATTTGTTGAGGAATCTCTGTATTGCTTTTCATATCAGCTGTACTAACTTACATTTGCATAAAGACTACACTGATTCATTTTTCTAAAACATCACCAGCACTTTTTTTCTCTCTTCGCTCCATTATATGTGGAATATAATCAAGCTGATTTCATACACGTAACCATACATGTAGAATGGTGATTATCAGAAACTGAACTACTATATTACTGTTAGGAATAAGAAATTCTGTTTTACTATTGCACAGTACAGTGACTGTAGACAACAGGTATGTAGGGTGTATTTCAAAAAGTTCAAAACAAAACAAGGATTTATACCAAAAAAGAAAGATAAAGACATTTTGACGATATTTGTTTAAACTAATTAAAATATTATACAATGTATACATCTATTAAAAACAAAACGAAACAAAACAAAACAAAAACCACAGTGTGGCCTGGGGATGTAGCTCACTGGCTCCGTGCCTCCTCGGTAAATTTAAGGTCCTGAGTTCTATCCCTGATACCGGGAAAAAACAAACAAAACAATAAATCCAGCAACAGGCCTCATATATGTGTGCATTTTGGTATTAGTTGAAAATAAATATAATTAATTTAAAGTGTGTCTCAACAACTGTGAAGGGTCTAAAATTCACCCTTAGCCTGTCACAATCTGCATGACGCTGGCAGAAGGAATGAGATCACAATGACAGATAAGGAGCTGTGTTACTCACAGCGCTGCAGGCGCCAAGAGATTCGTGTTCCCTCCGCGCTGCCTCCATCCCCGGAGGACACACTGTTTGTGTCTTTAAGATTATTTCCCACACGAGCATATATGGAAAAATAATCTGCATCAAGAACTGACACATCACACGGATTCGTGAAATTGGTGAGTTTCGTCGAAAAATCGTAAAATCATCATGATGTAACTAGCTTTTAAAACATTTTAATCCGAGGGAAAATGTGTTAGGTCATGAATCAATATAACTTTTTATCTTTATAAACTGAATATATTTTACACATAATAGTAACAAAAACTGAATTTAAACGGTTTTGTTCTGATTCTATTGCAGACCTGGGCTTTGATCTAATGTCTGTAGTGATATTTCCGCTAAAATTTTCCACTTAAAATATTTAATATGCAATCTATTAAAGTAAAAAGAAGAGCCTCACAATAAAAGAAGTTTCAAAATATATCCTACACACATAATATGAAGATCTTCATTCTAGGAGAGTGGTAAACAAATTTTACCAAATGCATTAATTCTATTTAAATTACAGAAAACTTATAGTATTAGCACATTTTTCAATATTTTACAATAACTTAAATAATGGAATGATGGAAAGGTACACTGCCAAATGATTAAATAGTTACTATATTATAAATACATGCATTTAAAATCAGATTAAACATTTTTAAATTGATATTTCTTAGGACATTGAGTAAAGCTTTAGCAGTCACAGTTCATGTATATTAATATAAAGGAGGGGTTTCCAAATTATAGCTGATGGTCTGAATCTGGTCTGACAGTTATATTTATAAGCTCCATAATTAAGATTGGCTCTGTATTTTAAAATTTGAAGCAAGAGCAACATAGACGACATGTAAAAGTCATATGAAGTTCAAATTACAGATTGCAGGTTTTATCAGAACACAGCCATGCTTAACATAGGGAACACAGCAGATGTTGCACTCCAATCAATGGCAGAGTCAATAGTTGTAAGGGAAAACATTTGATTCTCCAAGCTCAAAATATTAAAAGCTGATTCTTTAGAGAAAAACAAAGGTTAAGTTCATTTTCTAACTGCAAAGCATATGAACATGTGGTAATGTAGTTTGTACAAAATGTTGCGTGGGCTCTGTAGTATCTTTACAGTAAAATATCTTTCCTCATAATTTCTCACATAACTAGAGATAAGTACATAAAAAGCAATGTGAATGATAAATATGATTTTTCCCTCAAAGGCTTCTGTTATGGATGCTTGGTTCCCAATATAATGATATCTAGAAATGGTAAAGCTCTGAATTTCTACTTGGTGGGGTAATTAGCTCAAGGGGACACAACCTTCAGAAGGGATTACTGTCCTCTTAAGAAGACTGTTGAAGTCTCTAGGACTAGTTTTTGCAAGAACAGGTTGTCCTAACGCAAATTTGGCTTTCGTTCCTCCCTCATCCACCCTTGCTTCCGGTCTCTGTCTCTCACACTTGTACACACTCTCACGTTGTCTTGGTATTTATTCTCTGTGAGGCTCTCACCAGAAGCTGATTCTGGCAGCAAATACAAATATCTATAATACTGAGTTAAATAACTGTTTTCTGCATAAAGTATCTAAGGTATGTCATTACAATAATGTGAAATGAGTTAAGTCAGAGTCTACTCATTATCTCAAAATAATAAATAGAAAGTATCTTACTGAAAATCTGGAAGATATGCCAGTTTCCCGCATAAGACATTAGAAAATATTAAATAAGAATTATATTAATAAAAATAAAGTTGTGTCTGTTTTAATAATAGCAGAAATGTCAGGTCTCATGATTCATTGAGATAAATGAAAACTACTGAATTGTAAGTCTGGGCTTCTGTCTAATTCAGAGTAACTGCGAGGGAGTTAGCAGAATTGAGAAATATAATATACTTACAAATGTTTAAAGCACCTTCTCCATCCTAGTCCATTTTAAAAAATGATTATATTTTTAATTGCAGCCAGAAATTGAATTTACAATGTACTAACAGATTCCAGTGTAATTTAAATGGGACATTATGTCCACAATTAATAAAAATACTGTTTTGACAATGAAATAGAGAACAATTTTACAAATTCTTCTGCTGATAAATGTAATGTATTAATGGACATTTAAGGAATGAATCAATGAAAGAATTATATATGGACAACAGTGAAAATAAAATGACAAGTGAATTTTGAACTAAAATCTAAATATAGAAAAATGTGGTATAATAAACTATGAGTCCTGTTTCTTTGAGCCATCAAACATGTTAGGAATGAATAGTTCAGCCAAACTCATTAGAGATGAAAATAATGAAGATAAGAAATATTAGTAGCACTGTTAAAGTATAGTCTTCTCAGTTTTCTTATTTTTCTTGCATAGGCTGCCATGAAATTTGAACACTGTATCCCATGATTTTAATATGGCAGAGGCCCTTAATTCATAAAAAGACATTTAACTAATGTTATTTTTTTATCAGGGTTTTTCCAGCCACTCCAACTTAAACTTTTTAAATGAATTTATATCCCCTCGAGCAAATAAATATTAAATAAAAATATATGATCATAAGTAATATACAATGAAATCATGTGCTTATCCATAGCACTCCACTGAGTTCTGTGGTTGTATTACTCATGTTTAACTCACTCAAGCTAGAATTGCTAATTTTTAAAAAGTTATGTTGCATATGGGATTAAATGTTGAAAGGAGAGCATAAAACAAAATTAGGAAGTGATAAAAAAGGACTGATGCAATATAAAAATATATATTTCACGTATATATAAACTTTTAAAATATTTTCTACACTTGAGCAAATTCGGTTTCCTAACAGAGAAAGTAAAAATGCAGCATTAAATTAAAATGAGCAAATAGGAAAGGTAAATACTATTTTTGTGTACTACATAAGTGATTATCAGTTATATTGTAAATTACTAAGGACAAAAAATGATTGACTTTGGTATTAGAAGCTATTTATTTATCTGACCAAGAGTGAAACTACTTTAATCAATTTATTTTCTATGACGACCTTAAACTTTGAATAGCTTTTGAGTGGAAAAGTTTCAAATTATTAGGTATATGATAATCATGTGATTCAATATATTTAAAATTATTTTTTCAGTAAAGTATCATGTAAATTTGATTAAATTTTACAAAAAAGAACATATGTTCAAGCATCTGTTTATAGGATTTTTTGTATTTACACATTCAATAATATGATATGTATATATATTAATATTTTAAAATACTATATATGATGCATGAATCCACTATGCTTTCATAATATGCAATTGTTTTACTGTTATGATCATTGTAGTGCATATATGTGTGTGTTTGGTCAAGTACTAATTTAAACTTCCTTACTATCAGCATTCTATTTTACTTAATTAAATCTATTTCAGAATAAAAAAAGAAAAAGATGAAAAGCTGTGATAACTGACTATGAGAAAATGATTTACCATAAAGGACACTTTATGGTTGAATAGTCAAATTTCTCTTTAGAATAAAATTGTTTTTTCTGGAAAAATCAATACAAATATTATTATGAAATATTTCAACCATTACATGTAAGAGTAAATAGTCCTTAAAGTTAGAGGTACACATACCTAAATATACCATTTACACATATATTGGAAAAGGCAAGATTTCTGTGGTCTAGGCGACAATGGATTACTGAAGTCAGTATAAGGAAGAGATTTGTCAAGTTTTTAAAGAAGTGATTAATCAGAACTCTTGTTTTTTCCAAACCTAGTGGCTATTAGGTGTTCAAAATTCATAATTAATTAAAAAAATAGACATTTGAGGAAATCAGTTAATTAGTGCAGTACAGCTGGTATAAAACACTACTGGTGCAACTCTGATATCATTAAAAATTTGGCAAAATACCTTTAAAGCAATACCCATGGGAAAATGAAACAAATTAAGCAGCTAGGTTCATTTTTAAAGCCTAAGAAAATATAGAGGGCCCTAATTTTTCCTCTAAAGTTTAAAAGAAAGTAATGTAAAGAAGTAATCCAATGTTAACTGTAAATTTGAACATGGCATTTTACTGGCTCAGAATTGCACTGCTTTGCACAATTCATTTTTTTTCTTTAAACTTAAGTATTTTTATAAATTTTGCTAGTTTGGCTTTCATTTTTTTAATCGTATATGCTTGTGTTAGAATTTCAATTTTGTTTGGAATTGCCTTATGAAATATGTTGTATTCCAAAGATTATGGAAAATCATATATAAGAATAAAAAACATATATTTGGACTATATTGATGCTAATGATATTGTCTAATTTTATGAGATTTAACAAATTAAAACATGTTTATATAAAGATTATATTTTTCTCTAGCTTTCATTTTCTTTTAAATTTGATATATTTAGTACTCATCCATACTGAGACTTGTTACAGACAACATATATTTTCTGGGTATACAATATTCAAATGTAAAACGTTCTTATATTTGTTCATGCCTCATATTATTGGTAACCCCATTGTTCCATGCAGAATGGACAATAAAGCTTTAAACTTCTTAGAAAATATACAGTACTTATATTTTTCTGATTGATTCCTCCTATCATATTTGGATATATATCATATAATTTTTATAGCATGTGTTTATTTATTAATTTCTTTGCCATTAGAAAGCACTTCACCACTTAATTACGTCTTCTGGCCTAATTTTTATAACTTTATAAATGGAAGACTAGGTCATTAAATTTTAAAAGTTATTTTGTAAATAAATATTTTATATACATATATATATTACCATTTACACATAAATATATGTGTTAATTCCTCTAAATTTTTACATTTAATTTATATTGTGGTTATTAGTTTATGAAAATATTGTAAGAATTCTGTGTTTCATTGAATGAAATATATTATTTAGAAATTATTTAAATCCTCATACATATTTTTGGTGGAGTGGGTTGTTTATTTTTAGCAACATATATAGTATATTTTGTTTTGATTGTGTCTGTGACAGTTGTATATTATATATCACTAAAATTTAAGGATTGATTAATGACAGTATCCCACTGGAATTTTAAAAGATTTTAACATATATTTATGTTATATTCACCGATATATATTGTATATTTTATGCATTTTATGGTCTATGTTGTGACATGCACATATCAATAACACAAAATCTACTATTTCAAAAAGTTTTAATTATACAGTTTAAGTACATTAACATCATTATGGAACCATTGTCATTGGCATTTTTTAAATGTTCTTTGCTTATTCCATAAGTATTTGGGCAATTGTACAACGTATCCTTCAGAAAATTCTGTCAACATGTTTAATTCTTAATTTATATTATATTTATATCTAGTTTATTTATCAAATGCATGCATATGTTAAAATGTGGATAATTTAATATCTCTACACATAATTTGCTTAATTATTACTACATAACAATGCAAATTATATATTTTTACAGAACTCTTCTTGATATTTTCAAATTGTAGGGAAAAGCTGGGGTCCATATATCATAACTGAATTTAATAAAGTATACAAATGTAACAAATAAACTGTGATACAACATATTTTCTCTTTCTACCTTGACAGATTGTTAAGTACTTGCCAGGCTACACAAATTTAAAAATTATTGGATTCCATGAAATATGTTGGTAGAGAAAGTGTATGTGAGGATGGTGGTACCCTATTGACAAGTCTGAGTTCTGCTCCCCGTCAGTTTTTACCATCAGTTCTGCACTAAATCATCATACCTTGTTACCAGGTAAATAGCACACTTCTTGTTTTCATTCCAATCCTCAATGTCTTTTTATTAGGCTGTTCAGAACAAGGCTTTAATCAAAAGGCCATTGAGTGATGGAACATGGGCCAGAAAGACAAAACCAAGATATATATTTAGTGTGGAAATCAACCATTTCTTGGCATAACATCCTGTCCCAGTAAAGACAGAATAAAAGGTCTTGGTCATTGATATAACAGAGAAGAATAGGAGAACCCTCAGAGTTCTTGGGCATGCCTAAGACCAATTTCTTTCCTTGTATCAGTTCATGCATATTCTTGATTTTAGGTTTCATATGACTTTATACTTCATATATTTCTAATAAAAAATCTTAAATTTTATATTAAAATTTTTATACCATGTGATGCCTTTTCTGTAACTTAAATTTCCTGATATGTCTAAAATTAAACAAAAATTATTTTTAAATTAAGCATTACTTAATACATCACTGTATCTGATTCCTTATGCTTTGGAGAATTTTCATATAAACAAGATTTTCTTAGGCTTTTTATATTATAACTAGAAAATCTGGGCCATTACCTTTTTTATGAATACTATTATAAGTAGATTAAATATAACTTTTTATTATAAGGTTATAATTGGCACCACTCTCTTCTTTTAAAAAAATTTTGCTTACTTGATTTCCTTTCCATTAAATGACTTTTCAATATATTCTAAATTAATTTATCTTTTCTCATATGTATATATTCTATAGTTCTATAGTTCAGATGTATACTTTGTTCTGTGCAGTTTTGTGCATACTATTTAGTCAAATCTTATTCTAAAGTTTTTACTTGTTTGCAAATAAGTTATAGAACTCAACTTAGAACCCTTACCTTGCTTCTCTTAAGTGCATCTGGTATCTTATAGAATTTCTGATTTCACCATTGTGTAAAATTTTTATTATCAATGATTTTTAACATCCATGTCTAGAATTACTATATATAATACTAAATGTTAGCTACATACAGGTAAATACTACATTGAAGGATGAGTATACCTTTATATTTTTTCTTTGGATTTTTCCATTATGATATTACCTCCAGTCATATCTAGTAATTTTGTTTTAATAGTGGACATTAAGTATAAAATTAGAAAAGAAATTTTGGAGAGAACTGCTTTCTAGGCCTGTCCTATGGTGGGCAGTTTATGGAAACAAATGCACTTTATTTGGTTATGCATAGAATTAAGCCAATACTTGGTTTTCAGGTGTGTAAGAGCCTTTTATCTAAGGTCTTCCTTGATGGTGACATAAAGCTCTTAGATCTTAAACCAGTATCTTGGATGTTTGCCATACTCATCAATTTGTTGGCCCTGAACTCTGTCTTTTTCCTATCTTCATGAGAATGATTTGTTTCTCAATTTCACAAAAAAGTCACTCTTTCAACTGTCTGACCTTTTGATGGGTAAACTTTAGAAGTCGATAAATTTTCAAAGAGTAAAGGTGGCATGAAATCCTGAGTTTACTGCTCTGCCATTTTATTCCTATAATATTTTAAACTCTCAGTTCTTTACTGACAAAATTGACATTGGAAGCCTGAATTCTAAAGTGTTATTGGAGACAGTGAAAGCACCAGATCATTGTTACTTGAACTCTGTCTCTCCTTAGTAGTGACTCAACAGAAATACCAATATACAATTTAAAACCATGCCCTGCCCATTTCACAGGCAAAACTTGCCCTCACATATTAATATTTCAATTTCTAAAAACATTTTGGGTTGTTGTTTTAATGTACAGTCAATTTTTTTTTTATTTTGGAAGATTATTATAATAAAGTATATAAAACATAGCCAGGAGTAGACTGTATGAGGTTCATTGATTTTATATTTCAAAATCGTCCCTATCCAATGTGTTCAATATTCTTATGAATATTTATCATTATTTTATGTGGACATCTCATGCTGCTTTAGGTGCAGGTCTTGGAGTGATAGTAATTGCCACAATGATAAAATCTATGGAGTCAGGGTCCCAGCCAATAGCATCCGTGAGTGTGGGCGGATCTCAGGGAGAGGTGGAGTGGTCCAAACCATAGAGGCTGTAGGCAGATTCCAGCCAGGGATCTGTCCCAATCCCAGAGGCTCTGGAAAATCTGCCCAGGCAAGGCCCACCCAGGAAAAAGCTGCACTGGTGCAAAAGCTGAGGAACGTGATGGAATCCCAACATAGAAAACAAATGGAATCCACAAAACAGATGTAAACATATTTCCAAGAGATTAAAAACTCCATTGAAAGTTTATGCAGCAGAACAAGGCAATGCAAAGATAGAAATTCAGATATAGAAGATAGGATTGCAATTAGTGACCAGGAAAAGAAAATTTTCTTAAAAATCATAAGCGAACATGAGAAATCAATCCAACAGCTGCTAGATAATACAAAGATGAATAACACTGATCAGAGTCAATGAAGAAACAGGAGAGGGTTCCCATGACTTAAAAATATACTTTTTTTTTTTTTTTTTTTTTTCGGGGGCTTTTAACACAGGCCCTTTTATATTTGTAC